CTCTGCTGCTCTCAGCAACATTTTTTGTGACCAAGCACAGACTGCCTTTGCCTCTCTGCTGCAGTGCCATCAGCAGCTAGCACTGGAGAATCACAGACCTGGAGCAAAAGCCTATTTTTTAACTGGCATTTTCCAGTGACAACAGTTAATTCCACCATCTTCAAGGTAAGTTCTTTCACTGTGCAGTTGCAGATGTAGGTGGTACAGCAATATCATTTAGCTTGCTCACTTCCATTTGCCAGTTTGGTAACTTCTTAGCTGATAAGTGGCGACGTGCATGCTTCGTTAAGTGGTCGCTCCTCATGAACCGCCGCTCACACATGGGGCAGGCAAACTTCTTCTCACCAGTGTGTGTTCGGCGATGACGAGACAGTTCATCAGAACGTGCAAACCTTCTGTCACAGCCTTTCCAACTGCAACTAAAGGGCTTTTCTCCTAAAGGGGGGAAAAAAGTGAAAAAAATTCATGAATACTAACTGAGCAACGACGTTATTGCCTTGACTTTTGACTTTTTGTAAAAAGTTTCTATTATGGCAGTTGAGCCAAAAGCTACAAAAATGCTATTTTTATTGATATAAATACATATCTAGATACCCAACGTGAAAAATTGCATTTATATACTTTTATATAAACACGAGGACTCACTAGCAAAGCTAGGTAGTACAAAGGGTTAAGCATCCCCTGGAAAATGAAGAATTTGAGACACTCTTTACGTCTCAAAACAGCTGAACTTTCACCCTCAGCTCTACATGTACTGTGGATTACGATGACTTAGCATTACCAAAATGACCTCCTGAAATGCAACCTGTAATCATGTTAGTCCCATTTGTATGTAACAGAGCTCTGGTAGTGCACTGTAAGCCAATGCGAAAGCACACATGACTCCTTTTGCTACTGTGATTAAGAGCTGAAGTTTGTCTGCTTAGAGAAAATACTCTGAAGTAACCAACATGGGAACAGTTTGCAGTGGATGCTTCTATTCTTTCCTAAGTCACTCTCTTTACTCTTAATTTTTATCCACTTCTGATAAAGGCAGTCTTGTGGAGCTCTCTGATAAGCTACTACGGAAAGCCATATACACTTGGGCAAGCCCTTGCTTCCAGTACTTTTAAGAAAGACTACTGAATGCCTTCTGACACGTAAGAACATTAGCACAAACTGCTGAATCAACTTCCGCTCTGGGAGATTTCCTGTCAAAGATGAGGTGGCGTTATAATGTGTACTAGCAGAAGAAGTATTTCACTGCTGCCTCATAATTTGTTCCATGAACAAATCCAGTCATTACTAGAACCTTAACAAGCAGTGTATAGCCACAAATTCTTTCTACACAGATTCTTAACATCCAGCAATGGTAACCAACCTGTGTGTGTCCGGACATGAGCCTTCAGATGGGAGCTCTTGAAGTAGGTTTTCCCACATCCTGGGTAGTTGCAAATGTGACTTCTTATTCTTGAAGAATCAGCTGGAGGAGTAACTTTTGCTGCAGAAGGTACGAAGCCAGGAGCAGGGGCAATAGGAGAGAGTCTTGTGCCATTTGGACTAATAATCGGAGCCTTTGTGTTCTGCACAACTGGCTGAGGCACAACAAACATAACGGCACCTTTGGGAACTTGAGCACCCATGAACACCATGGGCTGACAGAGAGCTGACTGCTGGCTTGGTGTCGGGCTGGGCACTACTGCTGTCACAACAGAGTTGTTCGTAGGCAGAGGGACCATCTGGCAAATTACTGGCACAGGGGGGACTCCACTTCCTTGGACAGGGCATGGCGGTGCCATCACTGCTGACTGCTGTGCTGATCCAGGAACAGACTCAGCTCTGCTGACTGAAGGCTTTGTCAAGGGCACAGGACTGACAGCTGGTTCTGCAGTTTTTCCTTCTACAGCTGGCGATTTACTACTTTCGTGACTCGCTTGGTTAGACAACGCAGCTGAACGAACTAAACGTTCTGCTTCATTGTTCTGTTTATTATCTGTTTCTCTTGAAACACTGTCCTGGTATTTCAGCACACTGGCTGCTCTCACTGGACAGGTTTTGCGATTACAAAGCTGAGCATCAGCAGTATGGCGAATAACACTTGTTGCTTGTGCCTTCAAAGGTCTCGGTGCAGGAGACCTCTCGGCCTCTTTGAGAGGTGCGGCAAGAGGAGGCTTCCCAGTCTCAGCAGACGATTTGCATTGCGCTGTAGATGGCGCTGGTGCCACCGGATGAATTATTTGAGACATCTCAAAATCAGAAGGGCTGTAGGGTGGAGTCAGGCACTAAGCAGAGGAAAAAGGCAAAGTAAGGGGGACGTTGTTATCAACATATTACCACACTGATTGTTAAAAACGCACACAAACAATATTAAAAACTTACAAATGCTGGTATCGCATTGAAGTCTGCTGCTCCGGGAAGCAAAGTCTCCTCACTCTCTTCTGACACATCAGAGGCTGGAGTTATAGGTCTCATTTCTGCATATTTTTTGAAGTCTGATTTCCAGTTGCAACTCATAGATATAAGGGCCTCTACAGCCTCATAATCACTTTTTTCAGGGGTATTGTTCCAGAAATACCTGGTATCTCTCTGTTTCTCAGTCATCATCTCCATTTCTTTCTCCTGTTTGGGTTTGAGAAAAAAAAAAGTTTAGAGCCTCACCCCAAGTTTCAACACTTAATTGTTGTCTGAAAGCATCATAAAAACAGAACAACATAATCCGTACAAGACATCTTGATAATGTTTGGTACGTTTGCACTTTCCTGTCCCCTTTCTTCTTTATGTAATATTTTTATGAAGTTGGGAGGGAAATCTGGTTATCTAATAAAGATTATGAAGTTTCTTCAGACAAAAAGAATCCCTCTTTATTCTTGAACAGTTTAAGTTATTCCGTATTGCAAGTGCTGAGTATCTCAAAGTTTTTTTTGAAGGTTTTGTGAGAAAGAAAACTAAAATTACTTCTCCCCCCCCTCCCCTCTTTCATTTTGCTTAAAATACAGCCCTCAATATTGTGCTTATTTTGACATACAAAAAAGAGACCATACTGAGACTGAGGCACATTTCCTTAAAAAGCTGTTAGCCTCCAAAGAAAACGTTCTAGAAAGTACTCAGAGCTCACCGACGCTGACACATACACATAGAGAAAGCCACCAACATGGAGGACTGACACATGTGTGCATGTTCACCATGTGGGTGATCTCCTCAGGGCACTAACCAAACAGAAAGTCTTCTGGGCTATATGTGCCACTGCTATTAACGCTGCTACCCTTACCACAGCTTTTGATTTCAAAGGTGATGGTGTGCCTCGATGCTGGCAAAATCTGCCTTGAGCTGGTGAGCCTGGGCGGCAAAGCCGCGTTTCTGAAAGTTCTGTGTAAGCCGCTCCGGCGGAGCCACG